TACAGCCTGATGGCAGGAAATTTGGCCTAACCTGGGGGGGGGAAAAACCTCTGTTCTGTTTCAAGTAAGCTTAAGCTGGTATAGTCCAAAAAGCAGTGCCCTTTTATACCATCCAAGGACCTCCCCAAATCTGGGCTGTTTTCTTCCTAAATCTGGGCTCTTACATCCTTAAATTTGCAGTTGTTATCATCCTGCAGCAATACTGCATTATGAGATACCGTTTGCTCTCAGTTCACATACGTTATTGCTCTACTTCTGAATAGCGCAATTAGGTCTCCAGAGCCTGCTTGCTTTATCGAAAAAAGCACAGGTATTAAACAGGAGTAGAGAAATATTCCAGCTCACAAGTCAAATCAGATAATTGAAGTGGTAGGATGAGCCTTAAAATTAGCCCAGTTCACGCCTGAATAGAGTTCATATCGCACTGGGAACTAACCGTCCTTTCTCTTCTTTGTCTTTCCTTTTTTTTTCCCCTGCTGCTGTTTGGTTTGGAAGGTGATCTTTAGTAAATATTGCAACTCCAAAGATATCATGGACCTCTTCTGCATTGCAACAGGGTTACCAAGGTAGGTCTCTCTTTTAATTTGCCCAGCCCTGAGTGCACCTACCAGTTATACCTCAGCACTACATTTTTGCCCATATTGAGTGAAACGCAACCATATGCTTAGAACCTGTTTTTTAGTGGAAAAGATGGGGCCAATGAGAAGCATTGCCACGAGGTGATAAGCTTTCTATTTAGATACAGTACCATCTAATCCCAGGTATGGAACAGTCAAACACAAAGTACCCCAGCAGAACCACTTTATAGAACATAAATATCGCCAAGTCCGTTGCCCAGGCCAAGTATTTCCTCATTTATAGAATCATAGAATCATTAAGGTTGGAAAAGACCTCGAAGATCATCAAGTCCAGCTGGCAACCCAACACCACCATGTTGTCCTGCAAAAGTCCATGCATCTCTCCTGCTGTGATTTCCTGTAGGGTTTGTTTCTCTTACCTTCAACCTAGAGAGAAGCATCCAACTTAAATCCCTGTGTTGAGAGGGACCCAGGATCAGGTGTTGGTGTGTGTCAGGGTGGGAGAGGCCGGCGCGTGGTGGAGGGTGGCACAGTGTAGCACCCAGCCACTTCTGCACCGCCTGTTCAGGGCGGTGGTGCAGGAGGAGGGAACCCCCCTAGTCACATCTAGAAGGGGGCATCTGCTGTCTGCATACGGGCCTTGAGCAGCACAGGCCAGATGCACAGCAGCATGCAAAAAGCCATAGTCTTTACCTTTGTACAAACAGGTTTACAATACAGAAAAAGTACAGGAAAAAACAAGCCAATCCTTTAATCACGGGTTTATTGCATGGCTCCAGCTCTGGGGATCGAAAGAGAAAATTGTCTATATTGACTCAGCATTTGCATAAACTGCTGGACAGAATTAATGCCCTTTGCTGTTTATCCTGGCTATTTCCTCTCATTTGACATTACAGAGGTTATTAACTCTCACTTGCCTATGATGTCAAATACTTCCACTCCATCACCCAGGAAACTGTTTAGCAGTTTTAGTCATTCATGAACAGGGTGTTCACTGCGTAGTTGTAATTTTATTTTTATTAGAAGACTTCCAAAGAACTGTTCATTGAAATGAACCAGGGTCCTGGAGCCAGAGTAAACCTCCAAGGTTTACATCTGAGCCTATGAGATCACACCTAGCACAGTATAAAAAAGCAAAGGCCTCATATTCAGCATTTGTTTTGTTTGTTTTGGTAAAGGAGCAACTAGACAATTTTAAGACATTCATAGCACCGGTAGTCATTTGTATAGTGTGAGTCAATACACAGCTGCCGAGTCAATGTATAACAAAACATAGCTTTTTAATAGAAATTACTAGTTGATGAGTCAACAGAATACATGACTTAGCAGGGAGCAAAGTCTGCTCTGAGATCAAAGATGATCACACTTAACATTTTGCCAGAAACATCTCTGGTAATTGAAATGGGTGAAGCATCAAGCCTACCCCATCCTGTGCTTTCACCCTTTCTGCACCAAGGTAAAATGGGTCCAAGACAGTGCCAGGCCAGGCCAGGAGTACTGCAGGAGAGAAGATGGCTGTGCACCGTATGCAGCAGCACAGCATTTCAGCCAGCATTTCTAGGTCAAATAAACCTCCTTGAAACTTGCTTTTCAGGAACACAACAATCTCCCTTTTGACGGCAGACAATTGTATGGTATCCATTGATCCGACAATGCCTGCAAACTCAGAGAGGTAAGCCTTCAAAAATGGGGTCAAGCCCAAGGGAAGGGGTGGTGGTTGCCTGCAGATGCCTTTTGTGTGCAGGGAGGTGAGCAACTCCCTGGAGGGAGGGAGATGACAGCAAGAATTGCATGCTGGCTTATAACACTAATGCCTGCTGGTTTTGAAGATTTTTGCTTGTTATTAAAGTAGGAGTAATTGTCTGAGGAAAAAATACTGCTTTTAAGTGTTTAATGTAGAACATCTGTTCCCATCCCACCCTGTTTGCTGTCAAATATGAAATACAAACTTCTTTCTGAGTGTTGCTAACATCAACCCGCTCTGACTCTTCCAGGTCTCCATACAAAGTGATACCTGTTGCCACTGAGCAGCTCTCAGGTAAAACGACCCTTTTGAACTGAATTTACTAAAGCTGAATTTGCAAACATTTGCACGTGGAAATTATGTGGCTATGATGCAAGAAAGAAAGAAAGATGACGCTGTCTTGGTTGTAGCTATGGCAGAATAAGAAGTGTTTGATCACAGTGTTCTGGAGAAAAGCTAAAAAAAGGTCCCCAGATTTCAAAGTATTTGAGGGTGAGGTGGAATGGCTGGGGTCCAGGGGACTTTCACAGTGCTTAACTCTGGTCTGACTCAGCACCGCTGATGTCTTGGGGAAAGTTTCGCATGGAGCAGTGGTTTCTTTCAGGCAATGCAGACGATGTTTGAAAGCCTGTCCTGCAGTGTTTTGTTAAACTTTTTCACCTCTCAGCAAAGCTCTGCTGGAAAGCTGAGCACAACATTTGAACCCCATGTTACTTCCAAACGGCTGAGGCGAGAGCATAATTTCTGTTGTGGGCATGGTAGCTCTAAGTGTAATAAATATTTAAATACACCTGAAAAGATTAAAGAAGGCCTGGTTGAAAGAACACATCTGGAACACCTTCCCCAGCGCACAGTGCTGTTGTACTCCACAGGCAGGACTGCAGTGGCACTTCTACCATTTCTCTTTGCCTGCCAGTGTCATGCTCAGGCCAGTAGCTCTCAGACACCAGAGCAGAGCATTTGCTTGGAGAAATTCCTGTAGGGCATCTGGCTCACGGTCTCTCTTAGCAGTGCAACTGCAGTATCTCCTGCCTCTCGCTCCAAGGCAGCCTGAGCAAGAGCCCTAGCCTGTACACTGCGGAGCTATAGGGAGAGGCTGGCCACTGAGGCAGGGGCTGCAGAAGGGTAGGAGACGTCAGCTGGAGACACAGTTTGGAGCAGTAAAATGAAAAGATAGGAGGGACAAGGGGCAAGAGGTTAAGGTTATCTTGGAAACGTAGACTGCACAGAAAGAACAGGAGGGAGCCAGAAAGTCTTGGGCTGGAAAAAGTAGTTTGCAGGAACGGGTGAGGCTCTTAGATTAGGGGCAAGGCAGTTTTGCTGGTCCCACCTGTCTTCTTGCTAATGCTAATTGCAGGTCCCACCTCTTCTTGCTTAGGCTCCTGTGCTACACAAGAAAACATAGTGTCTCACAGCACCGCCTGTTTTTAGATGGGGAGACGGAGGGAACCAAAGCTACTCTCTGAGGTACCCGTGTCTGCTGCAGCAGAAACATCTGTAGGAAAAGGGCACAGCAAGGCAGTGTAGGAGGATGTGCGGGGGGGACAGAGAGGCAGCAGCGGGGAGCTTGTGCATGCAGAGAGCAAAGGCAAATTGAGAGCAAAAAGAACAAAGAAGCTAGGAAACAGGGACGAACTTTATCACAGTAAGATTTGTTACAAGCCATAAACAGGTCCCATGTCAGTGATTGCCGCTGTTGCCAGAAGGAAGTAGTCAAAGCCGAGGGACGCACATGACTGCTAAGGGAAAAGAAGCTGTCTCCTTATTGTAACAAACTCTGCTGGAACAGCATCACTCTTCTGGTCCAGGAGTACACTATTTCCATTATCAGATCAGAAAAGGTGGGGTCTTAACTGGAGCGTGTGTCTCTGTGTACCAGCTGGCATGGGTAATCAATAGCCATTTGCCCCAAGACAGAGAAAGACCAGCAAACAGAGCCAGCGGGGCTGGAAAATGGCAAGAAAAATTCTGGTGGTAGGTTGCCAAAACATAAGACAGTCTGCTACAGAAAGAGGACGAAAGTTGAACGGAGTGTGATGGAACTAATGTTCCTTGGTATCTGTTTCTCTTTCACGTGGGTTGCCATTAATCTTAAGCATTCCTGACATTTTGCTGAGAGTAGGAAGAATAAACAGAGTGGGAAATTGTTCCTCTTCATTAAAAGAAAAAAACCAGCTCTGTTCTAGTCTTCACTTCTTAAACAAACAACTCTGCGTGATTCTGCTTCCCAAAGCAACTTGTCCAAATGCATGCCAAAAAAGGGGTCACCCCAATTTTTACAGCAGTGGGAGGTAATGCACCTCTTTTCAGCAGTATCCCAGGCAGCTGGAAAAGAGTGACGCATGCTTCAGTGGAACAAAGACTGCATAAAAGGTGGGACTGGAAAATACGATCCTTTGGGAGGAAAATATAAGCAGTGGCTTTTATCCAGCAGAGGAGATATCCACCAGAGTCCTGCTAAGAAACCATTCTTCATTTCCTGGCCATAGTCATGGGAGAGTGTTGGAATTTAAAAAAATTATTATTCCAGTGAGCATCCATTGGATGCAGCGGCGATCGCCGTATCACTACGGGGTCAGCTGTCTGCAAGGCAAAGGCGGGGGCCCAGCTGGCCGGCTCTGAGCCTGTGGGACCGTTGCATCACGTGCTGTCCCTTCTCCCGCGGCCCCGGACCAGAAGGCGCGCGGCTGTCCGAGCAGAGCATCAAACCCCCAGTGCCAAACCCTTCCTTCTCTCTGGGGTGTTTAAACTCCCAAGCCCATCGAACGGGTATCTTCTCTCTCCCGACAGCGGAAAGGCTCTGGTCTGCATCCTCGCGGCGGAACAAACTGATGGCTGTGTTGTGGTTGTAATTAGTAGGGTTCAGGCACTCTGCAGTATTGGTGGAGATGCCAATTAAATGAACAAATCCTACTAGCAGCATACTCTTGAGAAATAAAATTGCTGTCTGTTACATTTCTGATAGTGCAGAGAAAGGAGCTGTTGTGAAGCTCAAGTGAGCCTGATCCACCACGGTCCTAAACGGGGGGGAACATGCGCAGGGGCTTTCCTAGCGCTCCAAAGTTAGGGCAGCAAAGCGCACAGGCAGCTGAACAAGCCCTTAAAGTTGTCACCAGGGATGTGACCTGAAAGAGCATGACATGGGCCGAGCTCAGCCCCAGCTCTCTCTGCACGTCTGTCTCCAGCTTGTCCTGGTGGGTCCTTCAACACAAACATCCCCTCATCCCTGGGGAAACGGGTGAGGAAACCCAAAGAGAGTAGTGCCCGATCGGGATGGAGGCCAGCACACGGGGAGAGCTCGCCACCTGCCACTCCTTGCTCAACAGCCTCAGCGCCGGGGAACCCTGCCAGCGTCAGAGCCGCTTGGCCAGGCTGAGGCTGTAGGCAGCGCCTTTGCCTCCCACTTCACTTGCTGTTCAGTTATTTGCCTTTTCAACTAACGAGCTATCTAGCACTTGCACAGAGGAAAACCCACAGTCTCTCCCCAGGGATATCGGCTTGCAGCGGGAGAGCTAGCTCGACCAAGACCTGCCTGCTAGAAGGCCCACATCTGAATCGGTGCTAGCCCTGCCTTGCCCGCTGCTGAGCCCACAAGTGATGTGTACAGCTGCACCAGAGGTCTCTGGGACTGCTTTTTTCCCCGGAATGATTAAATACACAAGATCTGGTGCAGATTGCTATTGGTAAAGTGACAGAAGCTTGTCACTGTGTCTAAATCTTCTTATTCAGGGATGTCTCTCTTCTCCTTTTGGAGGCATATTCATGCTCGCAGCTCAGGCAAGAGGGAAAAGGCAGAGACTGTGAGAGAAAAAAACCCTCCTGCCTGCTGCTTCTTACACGCGTCCCACGTGGATGCGTGCATTGCGATGGGGGCAACTGCTCAACTGCTTCAGGATTACTCACATAAGCAGGGACTTGCATGCGGTAGCCCGAATTAACCTGAGCTGTCAAGTGAATTTGGCACTCAATATGACGTGATTCACAGACGTGGGCTTGGACTTGAAGCACACCCTTTCCTGAGGCTTTTGTCTACCTGGCTGTTTGTTTTTTTAAATCCCTCTGACTGCCCAGATCCAAACAAACCACAGAAAGGGAAGTACAGACGGGAGCCAGAGGTACAGGCACACGTGAGAAAGAGGCCGTGTGGCAGGAATTCGCCAGCCTGACACTGGCAGGGAAAGGTAGATGCCCACGTCCTCGCAGCCTTGCTTGGCCACAGCAGAAAAGACAGGGGGAACCAACCCACCCCCACAACCCCATGCACTCCCCGCTTGCACCTCGTTGAGGCTGGCAGGATGGCGAGGGGAGCCGGGGAGGGCGGGAGGATGGAGGTGGCTCCCCGGCCGTGGTCCCGGGGTGTAAGACGGGGGAGGAACAGCCACTGCCAAGCAGAGCGGTGAGAAGCAGAGGGTGCATGCCAGTGGATTATAAGCCATCTGTGTCAGTGCACGCGTAACCTGAGCTGCCCCAGCGTGTACCTAGTCCCCGTCTGGCAGGGAAGGTGCATGCTTGCTGCCAGCCCTCCGACCCGGCCGCGGTGGGAGCCGCAGGAAAAAGTGCTGCTGCCATATTCCCCCGCACCTGCTTTCTGCCCAGACCTGCTGAAGACGGGGCTGGTGGGAGGGAGGGAAAAATGGCTCCTTGCTCTGTGACGCCCCGGCCAAGCTCCCTGCTGAGCTTGGCAGGGGCCAGCAGGCGAGAAGCCAAAGTCCCTGTGCCCGCAGCGAGCGCGGGACTGAGCTGTGGGAAGCCCGGGGAGGCCTGAGCTGGCCTGTCCCCTGCCCAGCATTACGCTATTGCAGCATCTTCTGGAGGGGATTTTCCTAATTTTCCTTTGTCAGCTCCAAAACGCCATGCGTATTGTGCAAAAATCTGACTTGCTGAACACCTGCATTTGCAAACGTTGCACATTCACAGTGCCGGTGGGGGGTGAGCTGAGAAGAGGGTTGCTGTTGGCTTTTGGGTTACTGCAGGCAGGAGCTGGCGACCCTTGGCAAGGTGCACAGATTGCATCTGCCCATGCTACCTGCAGTCAAATTTCCTTTTCCCAGAGGGAATCGCAGCAAAACAAATGAAGCAACTGAGGGAAAAGGTAGCTGCACGCACCTGGGGTGTCAGCCCTGCCCAGAGGTATAAAAAAAAAAGAAGACAGAGGGTAATGAAGGGAGTAAAAGGACACCTAGCCTTCTTGTTTTACAAAGGAGTGGGCAAGCGAGGCTAAATGATGTTGGTACGATGTCTCATTTTCTTCAGAACCAGGGGTTAGCAGAGGTCTTCCCCTCGGAAAGGAACAGGACAAAGAAATGGATCTTTGTCTCTTTAAGATGAGACGAACTGCCACTCTTAGTCATATATCTTTACTGCACCCTAGGGTTATAAAAACATACATCTTCATTTTGAACGTCTTTTATTACATCCATAAACATCAGATTGCAGCTGACTGTTCCCTGGATGAGAATGTCCTAGTACTCCAAGTGAGTTTTGACAGGGGGAGGGAGTGAAAGTAAGATTGTTGGTTTTTTTTACTGGAACGGTGTTTATAGGGAACTTGTCAGTCTCTGGCATGCTACAGCCACTGTCAGAGAGCTGAGCGGCACCGAAGTGAGAGGACACGGGTTTCTCTGCTTATTCTCACTGTTGGATTCTGGTACCATCCCAGGTGCTGCATACGGTAAGCTTTCCTCCCGTCTTAAATAGGACGCGGCGTTTGCTTTGTTTCAGCACTTGGGTTTTCAAATGGGTTTTGTGAGAAAACTGAAAAATGGGTCTCTGTGAAAAGAACTAATCTCTTCATTTGCTCTGCTAGCCACTCTGCTGGGAGTCGGATCGCAGCAAAAAAAAAAAAGACGGAATTAGATCTGAGATTTTCAGAGCACAGAGTGCTTGCTCCAGTTTAGAGACACGGGGGTGACAGCCAAATTGTTTTGACCAGAAAAGTTAATGCTCTTGACAAATATTCCTGACATCTGTAATACCTGAGGAATTGCAAATCCTTTCAACAGGTACAAGAGCTATTACTTAGAAATACATTGTAAATGCTGGGCTGTATTTCTGTCTGCTGTTTTTTGCCTGGGTGATTGCACTCGTGAGGCATCGTGCTCCCTCAGGCAAGTGCAAGAAGTAGCTTCAGAAATGCCATCAGGGTATTTCTACGTAGGGTATAAATGGATGTTCTGTAATCTGCAGCACATATATGAGAGCATGCAATGTTTCTTTTTCCTTGGTTTTCCTGAGAAACCAAGAGTACATCCACATCGCAGGCATGAGAACGACTGCAGCACAGTGCAGTTTAAATTAGCTGGTGGGGGAAAGTGGGAGCAATCTCAAAACAGCAGCTCACAGCTCAGCAAAGGTGATTTAAGCTTCCCCTGTCTGCATGACTACAGTGTGGACAGACTGAAAGATGGGAAAACATTGCTATCATACTTCTTCCTTCCGAAAGTGTACTGTTCCTCGAAATCTAGGGTCTTGTTTTAAGGACTCGTTTGCTTTTCCCTGCGTTAGTGATTGCAATCCTGTGATGGTCCCAGGAAGGGGCTGAGGCTTCACCAGGCTGACTTTCCCAAGCCGGCTGAAGCGCCTGAGTGCTGGAGTTGGCAGTGGGAGGCGGAGAGCTACCGGTGCAAATGCTCCCAGTGCAGCCACTGCCGCAGCAGCTCAGGCAGCGATGGGATCCCCATGGGATCCCCGCGGTGGCTCTGTCCAAGTTGTGTTCTCAAGGGAAAAGGGGTTGGGAAACTTGTGCCCCGCTGTGTCCATCCCATGAACCAGGAAGGGTGGACCTCATTCTGCAAGGACAGTCACTTTAGCATCTCATGTTTGCCTGAAGTTTATGCATAGCAGTACGAGCCTTATGAATTTGCACCAAAAAATTGATCTCCAGGATAATGTCCCAGTGTAAATCTGAAAGGCAAGCTGGGTTTTCTTGTGTTCATGTGCTATTGTGTTGTTCGTGGGCACTCTGGCACAGTGTGTTGATGGTGCAGAGGCAGTCCTTGTGAGCCAGACCTTTCAAAAGCAGACGGCGATTCTGGGTGTCCCACCCAAGGAATGCGAAAGGGGTCTCCTTTCCAGAGAGTGCTGCCTTAAAACAAGCCACCTCTCAGAGACCCAGCACCCCCAAAAAAAAACTTCTGAGAAACCTTACTGTAATCTGCAGGCAGAGGAAGGCAGGTGAGACAAGGAGTCATTCCCAAACGCTGTCACTGTTCAAAGGACCAGAACAACTTTTGGGCTAAATGCCTCATTGTCAGAGCTGGAAGTCTGAGGACGCCGCTTTGCAGCGGGGTTGAGGGTGTCTTCTTTCCTCTGTCATTTTCTGTTATGTCTCTCTCCTTTCTCTTTTTTTCAGAGAAAGAAGAATTGTTCCAGAATTTATTGGGACAGATTGCCGAGCAGTTCTCGAGGTAAGAAGCTTAACATCATTATTAATTTAAAATGCTATTTCTTTTATCAGCCTGAAGTGAAATTTTCACAAGAGGCAGAGGGGCATTTAAGATCTCTTTCAAATCCCACTCTTCCTGCCAAATTTAGGCCTGGTACACACGTTATTTTCTGCTGACAGCAATACGGTATCTTAAACCAAAAGTGATTTGGGTGATTATCTTTGATCTAAAAAGGAGATCAAGTATTAAATATAAATGTTCTTATTGTGCTCCTGCCCTCTTAGGAAGCAAAAGAAATACTTCTTCACTGAACAGTCAAATCATCTGATTTGTTTCATTTTTCCCTTTATCACCCATACATGTCTCTCCTCCGAGAGGGTTTCCGAACATCTGTATAGCTGTTTAATTTATTCCAGCTGTTTTCAGTAAGACAGCTAATCCCACCACAGCTGAGCAAATCACCAGCATAACTCAAAAGGAGGAGGGTTTCAGGGTGCGCAGACACCAAGATGCTGCTGTTAGGCAAAGCATTATCAATTTAGCTTTGCTTCCCTAGGGGGTACAATAACAAGTCACTGCGGACAGAGGGGGTGATGAAGTGTTGCAGAGCCACAGTGCATTCCGAGGGCCATAACAAAATCATTTGTTGTTAATTTTTCTGAAAATTAAACTCGGGTGTATTTTCTGCCCAAATTTTAGCGCTTCCATGGAAAATTTTCTTTTCCTTATGGCAACCACCGTCGGACTGATCAGTCCTCTGAAAAATGTAGACATTTCTAGCAAAAGTCCTTTGCACCTAGGGTAGATATGGCACTAAATGTATAACATTAATACGAGGGTTTTCTTTTCAGGGTTTTTAAAATCAATGAGCTGAAAACGGAAGTAGCTAATCACTTGGCAATGCTGGAGAAAAAGGTTGAATGTGAGTGTCCCTTTACTCGTATCACAGTGGGAACCGGTGCCTCAGAAACCCCCCGCCTCGCTGCCCCCGTTGTACCCCCACTCCATCCCGCTCCTCACAGCCCCTCTGCTTTCTCCAGTCGCTCATGATTTAGCTGGCCTGGGGCCCGAAAAGCCACAGGCCAGCCCGGGGTGAGGTGCGGGGAAGGTGGGAGCCCGTGGTGGCACTGACTGGTGGGGCGAGGCCGGGGAGGGATGCCTGGCTTTGTAGGCATCTGGAGCGCCCCGGCAGGCTCCCCTTCGAGGGGCCGTCGAGCCCCCCACCGAGCTTTGGGCCTGGGGCCATGTCCTCCTGCTACCATGTCCCCATGGCAGAGGGTCTCCACCACCCACCTGCCCGTCCCCCACCTCCAAGCCCTCCGGCCTGCCCTCCCACGGCCCCCCCTGCCCCAGACCCATCCCCCTGTCACTTCCCCTGCACCCAGCGGTGACCCCCATGACTCTGCATGGGCATTCCCCGCAAAACACCTGGACGCTAGCGCTCGCTGCTGCATTTTGTAATTAATTAAAGGAGGGTAACGCAGCTGCCTTCCTTCTACTTTAAGTCAGATATTTGCACAGGTCAAACATGTTGTCTTGCAAAGACACTTTCTCCTTTCAGAAATGCATTTACTGCGTATTAAGCAGTCCGGTCTGTCCCTGCTGCTGACCTAGGCCCGGCGCCAGCACTGAGACCTGACAGTATTTCTGCTAAGCGTCATGTCGCACACCTCCCTCTGCCGGGAGAGGGCCCGAAACGGGGCAAGGCCTTTCCCCGCAGCACGCGTGCATGCTACACGTGCAGCACGAATGCAGCATGAACACCGAAGCATCCGTAAACAGGCGGCGTAGCATGTGCTGAAATAACAGCCGGAGGGTACGTCTCGTCATCTCGCGAGGCAGTAATTTCTGGGCCGCAAACACGGGGGTTCACCCCTCGCTGGCCATATTGCCTGGCAGACTACGAGGCAGCATCAATATCCTCGCTTGTTCAATGTGTTAACAGTAACACAACAGTTTTCAGTTGCTGTGCAACAACCAAGTTAAGTTCATCTGGTCAAAGAGCTCCTTTTCTGGTTTTTGTGGGTTTTTTTTTTTTCCCCCCATGCAGCAGCTGACTTGTTGTTTTTCAGTATATGATGCAGAACACAGACCCCAGAAAGGCAGAGAAGGGGTATGAATAAGGCACTGTCACACAGCACTGTTTTGACACCAAAGGCCACATCCTCGCTGATAGGCAGCATTTAAGTCAGGCGTGGGCAGAGTCTTCCCTGGCATCACAGCTGCAGCAAGCACTTTCTCACTAGAGCTGGCTGGAAAAAAAAAAGTTTCTGGTTCATGGAAGCAGTTGTTTTCTTGAAATTTTCCCCCGACCAGAAGCTACCTTGACCCTGCAGCTGCTCAGTGAGACATGCCTTCGTCAGCAGGGAGAGGAAAAAATGTCCTTATTCACAGAGCAGCTGCAGGGGGACCTCTCCCAGAGGCCACCCCCGCCGCAGGCTGCCGGTGCGGTGGAAGCCCTCTGGCGACGTCCATGGAGGGGGGCACCCTGCGGCATGCCTACCCCCAGCACAGACCTCTGCAAGGAGCCCGGGTAGCAATCCCTCCCAGTCTGCTTAGCTGCAGTTTACCCAAGGCTCCGCTGATTTGTTCTTTTGTCCGAAAGAAAAAAAAGAAAGGAAAAAAAAAAAAGAAAAATTAGCTCAGTCAGTCCACGTTGTCTGTGAAACTTCTCACCAACTCCAGCCTTCAGGGCTAAGTGCCATGGACTAGAGCAAATGAGGCAAGCGTTCCTGTGGGTCTTCCTATCCTCTTGGCAGCCCAGGCGAGAAACTACCCCAGCCAGCTAGGGGCTGCTTTCAGCCACTGGCTCTCCCCGATGACCCCCTGGGACCCTCGGCTGCACCCTGCACACACGCTGCCTTTCAGCACCGGCAGCCGGCGGCAGTGGAGGGAGATAACAAAGATTTGCATGCCGCTGCCGGCGGGGAAGAGTTGTGCGTTTGCACTGTCCGGCGCTTTATTGCTGGTTTAGGGAAGGCAGCATACCCAGAGCTGCCATGCCGTGCAGGTGAACTGAATTCACTGGTCCCCAGATGAGGCTTCTTTCTGTAAGTGGGTCTCTCCGCTGATGGAAATAGCAGCAGATGCAGCAATCTGCTGCCATTCTGCCTGAGCGCTCGCGATCGCATCTCCAGCAGCCTCAGCCTGTGGGAAGGAGCTCCCTGGGTTGCCTGTCTACAAGTGCACCCATCTGCTCGAAATTGGACTTCCAGAATTTGCAACAGAGCCAAATCCGCATCATTTTGAAATAATCCCAGGCTTTCATGTTTAAAAAGCAAAACTGTGAGAGGAAGGGAGCGTCCAACCTCCCTACTCGAGCTGGGCTCCCAGAGGTTTCTTTAAGAGCCGTGTTTCAGTGCTGGATTCAGCCCAAGGATTTCTTTAGACAGCACAGGGTCTTTTCAGGAGGTAGTTCTTGCTGCAGAATAATATAATGGGCCCTTAATCAGTGCACATGACAAGGCAATTTATCATTTGTGAGCCAAATGTGAAAAGAATTGTGCTTTTGTTTTGCCATTTCTCCTACCTCCCTCGGAGATCCCTTTTCCACCACTTTCACATGTGATCTCCAGGATTTCTTCCCCAGAGGGGATATGTGTGTGTGTGGATAAGTGCTCATGACAGCGCTACATCTGCACCTCACATAAAATGTTCTGTGTCCTTCCCATTACTGTCTAGAGACCACATCATAGACGTGTTTTCAAGGAGCCAAATCTTCTAGCTGATTTTTACATCCCATCTAAAGCTTGTGACTTCCCCTTGGAAAATGCGTCCACGCAGAGCAAGCACTGGGAATGCTTTGTCCTGTGGCTTGACTTACTCTGCTCCAGTGTTCGCACAGCAGCCCACACATGAATAAGGAAGCTGGCAAAAACCCTTTACAATTTGTAAGCATCTCACATCTACCTTAAGAAAATAATTATGTAAACTCTCTGCTCCCTGGAGAGGTTTTGGAAGAAAAATAAAGAGATGCAATACGAAAAAATGCTCAGGGCTGCCATTTTGCACCATAACACCTCTTCTCTCTGCAGTTGCCTGCCCCACTACCCTGTCAGTCTGATAACTCTGCTTTGCTCCTACTGCTTCAAATAGGCACTGGCCACCATTTAGACAGCTTGGCAAATGGGCTACCCACAAATTTCTCCTGGATGAATGCACCGAGGTGGCCCATAGCAGCACAGGGCCTGCAGGTCAGCTGCAGGTCAGCTGCAGCTGATCATCGGCAGCTGAACCAAGTACCGAAAAAAGTGCAGCCAGATATCCAGAATGAAGATTTTGAATAAGCAGGACAGCATCTTGCCTGTATCATCACATTGTGATCACCCAAAGAAATTACTTGTAACAATGCTAGACAAAAAAAAATTAATCTGGAAATGGGATTTTTAAGTGGAGGGTATCCCTGTAATCAAGCATAAATCAAAACCCTTTCCCTTTCCTCTCCTACTATGTGGCATTTTGGACTCGGTTTATACACCTCTCTGTTTTTCCCTTTTCCCAGTTCCAGCAGCAATCTTTGTTGTTACTAGCATAAAGAAAACAAAACTGAGGTCTCTGCTTATCTACAGAGTTGTGCCCTTCCAAGGCAGTTTTTTATCACTTACATGCTACCCTCCAGATAAGTGTGATTTTGACTATTATTTTCTAAGAAAGTGACTGAATACTGATTGTACGATTGCACATTCCCTTGAGTTCCCTGAACCACAGCTTGTCCATGCAAACAATGAGTTCAGTAAACAAATGAGCTGTGAAATGATTGCATATGAATGACATGTACTTAATAAATGGTGCTGCATTATGTCCTTGAGCATGCTGATAGTTCAACAAGAGGGAAAGAAAAGGGAGAATATTCTCATACTTGCACTGCATTAGGTTCTCACAGCTACGTGGAATGAAGTGCATCGCTGCATAAACAGGCAATCAAACTTTTTGCCTTGTGGCTCATAATTACATACAGAAGGGGAATATAGGATTTTTTGTGCCACGTGCAGAAATAACTTTTGATTACAAAATTGATTGGCAAAAAGTGACAGATCTTCAATACCTAAAAAAAATGAAATCAATCATTAGAGCAAAACTTTTTAACATTCGTCTCTCTCTCCTGCAGTCTCACTTTGGTTTCTCTGTATCTAGCAATGCCTCTCAGAGCTCGTTAATGCTATGCGTGAACTTTCAAATTAAAACCTTTTATCCTAAAGGGAATTCTAATCCTACCGGGACGTGTTTGCCTAGCTGCGCTTATCACCCCATCACGGGAGGGTTTTTTTTGCTCAGGATTTCCTTTGATTCGTGTTCTATAGCAGAGAAGTGAAGGCACCAGAACTGCTGACTGCTGCTAACAATCGTGGAAAAGCTGAGACGTTATAGCCATTCTGTGAATTAAAATACTGTAGCTATTATCTAAAATTGGCAGCAGAGAATTCCTATGGGTTTTCAAGATATATCGCTTTGGCAGCACCTGCATATGTGAGAACCGGGGCAGACTGTAAGCACTTGCTGGCTCACTGGATAACCCCACTGTTAAAGTCCTTTGAAATTTTGTACAATTGAAACGAGATCCTTCGACTTTCGCCATGGTAACACCCCTGTTGTTTTCCTTTGTTGACAGTGGAAGGCCTGAAAGTAGTGGAGATTGAGAAATGCAAGAGCGACATTAAAAAGATGAGGGAGGAAATGGCAGCAAGAAGCAGCAGGTAAGTTCTGCTTTGGACCTAACCAAAGAAATAAGCATCTGGTTTCAAACCCTAATGCGATGTTTCCGCAGAATTGAGTTACCTGCTGGGCTTAGAAGTAAAGGAGCAAGGAAACCAATAACCATTAAGGACAGTGGCTTTAATTTAACATTTGAAGATCTATAGCCATTCGACTGTTAAAATAGCTCGGGCTGCGGGAATAGAGAAAAAGGTCTTGCAACAGAGAGTTATTTTTCACCATACAGAATGGGAATTCTTCATCCAGATTTACTAGGAGAGAGGGAAAAGGAAAAGAACTTCTGCAAAGTGCAGTGTTTGGTTGGGAACCAGTTAACGCTCGAATCAGCTCCAATATATTCTGGGAAAATATCAAATAAATATGTAGCAGCTCTTCTAATTATGATCTCATGCTATTATAAAACATCCATTTCAATTTCAACAAGAAATTGAGAATTTACTTTCTAATTCAAGGGCTCACTGTGATTGTGAAGCTTGGTTTCACTGTAATTAAAACAACAGCAGAAAAAAATTGCATTTTGTACGGTATGTGGTCTCAGCTGGAAAGTCTGCCCCCTGTGTCACTGAAATACCCCATTAGGACAAACAAATCATCACTGTGAGATTATGAAAACTTCTGGGAAGGTTGCTCAAAGTGTGGGTGAAGGGGATTTTTCTCAGCAAATGTAACTATGCTATCTTGACAGCCTCTCTCTTTTTCTTCATTTGGGGTCAAATTCTCTGACCTTTAATCAAAGCTATTTCCTATTGAGGGCAATGGGAGATTTGCTAAAAGAACCAGGCTTTATAATCACTCGCTTTTATAAATTTTGCTTTCCAGATATGTCAGGAGGCACAATGTTAATACGTTCCTTTTAAGTCTAAGGCCAAATTCAGCTGTCATACTAGCATAAATGCAGAGTAACATTATTAACCTCAGATCTGCTCCAGATTTATACCAGTAGGATGGATTGCAGTTTGCCCTGGGACTTGCATCATTTCTTGTTCAGGTGTGTGAGGAATTCTCATTAGAAAAATCAGAGCTCGGATTGGCAGCAAACGCAAAAACACGTATGCTGATTTGTGCCGGGTGTGATGTGAATAACGTGTGTGCCCGTGCATGTGTCTTTGCTTTTCCTCGACTGTTATGGGGAGCTGGGAGAGCTGCATTTATGAGCACAGTGATGCACAGGCAGGTATGGAATTAAAACCAAAAAAAGAAGTTGTGGCAACTTCACATTCACCCAGTTGCCGCCACACACATCAGGAAGTCCCAGCAGCAGCCATGACTCATTCCTGTCCCAGACCTTGCCACCTTACAATCTATATTTTGTAGTATAAACAGCAATCTGTTAACAAGAAAAACAAGAATGGGGAGTGCTGCATCTGCCCAGTGCAGCTGGCTCCAGCTGAGGTGTAGTCTTTGCTGAGCGCTTCTAGTGGGATATGACAGCTGCCAAAAGTCAGAGACCAGCATGGAGTGTGATGCTGGAAAGCTGTGGTAAAAATGGGTGCGGTGCTCAGCAGCAGGCAGTGCTGGGCACAGACACCCAAGCTAGTTTGCTCTGAGCTTGCACTGCATAGCTGCTTTAGCTGAAGCAGGAGCCTAACTCACTGCTCAGCATCACTTTGTGCTGTATCGATGTGGCAGCTACCTGTCACAGCTCTTCTTGGTTGCCTGGAGCTGGGTCTTCCTCCTCCCAGCTGCACAAAAGCTCCTCCTCCTGGCACAAAATCCTCCCCATGGTTAACTGTTTCCTGAGTGCTTGGGTCTCAAAGCAGCAGCTAGATGTGGCCAGGTTCAGCGTATAACCAGGGGTGGCTACAAGTCACCTCTTCTTGCTATCAGTGAGGAGAGGATGCTCCTTGGTGGCTGGCCATTAAGAGGGACCCCATCGGGAGCTGCTGAGGAGTGAGCTGTGGTTCCCTATTCCTGGACGACCACGGCTCCACAGGGGCCATGCCACTAGCCCGCGGTGACCCCAGCCTAGGGGTGCTTCACCCCAGAGTGGCTGAGCAAGCTCTCTCCAATTGGCGTGAGATATGTGCGTGCTTTGGGGGGGACAGAGGCATCCCAGGGCAAATGGAAATGGTTTTGCTCCTATTTAGACTTGTCATCCCTTGCGCAATGTCATTTGCTAGATAACGCGTTACAGTTGCAATTAGAGATCACATCTAAATTTAATTAATATATAAGTATGTGTGAGTGCATATATTCCTTCAATAATATCAGTGTACACAGCCGTATTCTTTTATGTTTACATATTCTTACATTTGCTGTTACATTACCAAACAACAGAGTAAGAACAGCTAAGTTTATAAAAGTAATCACACACAGTGAATTGTGCATCCCTCCTCTTCAGAAGAGCAAAGCAGCCCCACTTGCATCCCCTCAGATTGCTTTTTTCGCTAGTCTGCTTTTTGTGCTCACGACTGGCAGATGCTAATAACATTATAGCGTCATTTAAAATCATGATCATTTGCAGATACAGTTTTACATTTGTAAAGGTCTGATGCATCCTGGCTCTGGTGTGTTCCCCAGTGCGGTAGGATGAAGGCTTCAATGTCTTAATACAGCTGGGGATTACAGATAGTTGGCTGACCCTCAGCTAACCCTGGCAGCCAGTTCCAATTAGGGCAAGGAATGCCCCAATCTCACTATTTTTATCCTACTAATACCCCTCACAGTGGTGTTTTGAGGAAACAGCTTTAGAAATTATTAAGACAGCTTTCCACCAGCTGAGAATCTCCTTAAACAGGGCAGGAAAAGGCAGCTGGCTGAAGCCAGATGACCACCATGAACTATAAGATGACATAACTTTTGCAGGATTCAGACAGCACCATCAGAAATGATAGCAGATATCAATGTTAAGAGGAGAAAAGAAAAGAGACCCGGACCAATTCCCAACAGAGACGAGAAGCACTAAAAATAGACACAATACAGAACACGTGAAATAATTAAAAAAGGGACAAATGAAGTTAATGGAATACTTTTGTTGTCTTCTTTGGAGGGTTTCTTCTAGCTTCATTTGGCAGGAGGCTTTAAAAATGGGAAAGGATAATCCAAACGTTAGGACTACAGGGATAAATGCAAAATGCAAGCAGATCAACATCACATGAGAGTTATTAAATTCCATGTGACCAACTACCTGGGAAACACATGTTGAATTAAAGTATCACAATTGCCATGGGTGATACCACAGAGCTCTCAGTTTTGTTGTGCCCCCCGTGGCTGTAAGGCAAGAAATTGCTCTCGCGCTGCAATGCAGCAACCTAGATGTTCTGCAAAGGCTGTAAGGCTGGTGTGCACCTCCTGCTGTCATGGTCCTCTGCTCAGATGGGATAGCATCAGGTTGGCTCTTCCACATGCAGCGGAAGGAAGAGTAGATAACTGGCAGTGGGTGCTGGTGTTAATAACCAGACAAGTGTTAATTACCTGTAATTGCTGGCAGCGGCTCACTTCCTCCAGGACTGGGGAGCCAAGCAGACTCTGTCTGCCGAGTCTGTGCCTCACTGCTGTTGTCCTGCCTGAAGGGCAGCAGGCAAGATGGTCATGCCATCAAAATGGATGGTCTTACCCAAGCTTTTACCGAGGCCTGGAGCTGGGCTGCATAAGCCATGGGCTCAGTAGGTGCCTACACTAGTAAATAAGCACAGGCATGCCAGGGTCCATACTCAACGTGGCCCCAGGCAGGGCTCTGCCGTCCTCTGCCATAGGACGACTATGCCTGCCACAGACAGCAAGCTGCTCGCTGAAAGGAAAGTTACTTGGTTTAAATAGGAGTGATTGGGTATCCATGGATACTTGTCTGAAGAAGACAGACGCTCTT